TTCCTGAAACATTCTTATCATCAGTGTTCTAAACTCTGTCTCTGAAAGGTTGGATACCTCTGTTTCATTTAGTTGCATTTCTTGAGGTTTCTTCTGATCTTTTACTTGGGACATGTTTCTTTGTTTCTTCATTCTGGCTGTCGCTCTGATGGCTTGGATGTATTAGATCACCTAGAAAGAAAAAAGAAAACAAAAAAGAGAAAGAGGGGAAAAAAAAGGAAAAAAAAGGAGGGGCTCTCTGCCTGCTGTAATCTGCACTGCAGACCACTTGCTCAGCAATAGAGAGATTCTGGGCGACTCAGCAGCAGCTGCTGGGGGGAAGGGCTCAGTGCGTCATGCGCTGACCTCCCTCTAGACTTGAAGTCAGCTTCCTACAATTAGTTGCTGTGTGCTTTGGAACTGTGCTCACCACCAAAAATCCTCACAGGCTGTTGCGGGCTGTCTGCTGCTGCAAAAAACCCTCTGTAGCCTGCAGAGGTAGGAGCTAGGGACCAGGGGCTCAGGGTGCCCCTGGCAACACAGCTCTAGGTGGGCAGGGCAGGCCCCCAAGGCACCACAGGGTGTGGTCAGTGGCCCCCACCAAGTCAGAGCAGCATGCACTCCTGCATCAGCAGCCAACCCACACAAACACGCCCGGAAAGCCCCAGCTGAATCACGCAGGCGCACAGCTCGTGGCCCTACACTCCCAGGAAAACTCCCTGTCTCAGCCTGTCCCAATCAGCCACTCAAAGATCAGGCCGAGCAACCCGACAGCCAATTGCCACCAAGACAACTCTGCATGTGCAGTGCTGAAATCAGGGACCTAAGGCAAGTCGCGCACTACCGGGTCTGTTGTAGTCAGAGTGCGCTTGCCCGGCATTTCCCTGGCTACGCAGCACAAACAGTATGGAGGGTGGGGATCCAAGGCCGCATGCACACGCGCGCGCGCACGCGCACACACGGACACACGCACTCCTGCGCCAATTGCAGCAGACCAATGCAGTCCCAGACCTGAGCCTTTGTAGGGGGCCCAACCCTGAAAAAATGGCAGCCTCCTGTGCACCACTCGCGCGCAAGCTCCACACCAGGGGAACAATGGTCCCAAAAATCTCCAGCTCCCGCGCCAAAGGCACTCAGTTCAGTCCTTCCCGGAGGCTCCTGGGCCCCGCTCACAAAGCCACTCCCTCCACCAGGAACCGGGTGAGTGCTCACCAGCGAGCAATTCGGTTTACCGGCTCCACTGTTTCTCCAGACGCCCCAGCCTCACCGAACCGAGCAAAGAGAGTCCTCACTATTTTCTCCTTCCAGCTATCGTAGAACTCCTCTTCCTGGCAACATAACTCTGGGGTGGTGAGCGCAGTGTGGGGCCGGAGGGTCTCGCCCCCAACCAGAGAAGCCTCCCCACCACTGAGGTGACCCTCACGGGGTTCGCCCTCTCTCATCTCCACCCCTCCTACCGGACTCGATGTGGCCTCCTCTTTAAGTCCTTCTTTAAAGGTTCTGTTCATCTAGGGTCCAGGGAACTTCCGAGGTTGAATATCTTATAAATTATTTGTAATTTTGTTGTGATCCTGGGAGGTAGTCGGCACAGCGTCTGTCTATTCCGCCATCTTACCGGAAGTCCTGCATTATGTTTTATAACAAGGATGTCTTTATGAACTAAGTGGTAAAGTATCTGATGTGTGTGTATGTACTTTTTATATATATATATATTTATATACCTGTAGGGAATGTTTAATTCTGCCTTAGAAGTGGCCAAATTTGAAGGTGCCGTGATTCGAACTGTCAGTGGAATCAGGGGACAGATTAAGAAGGCACTTCGGACTCCAGAAGGAGCTTTCCGGGCCAGCTTTGAGGATAAGTTGCTGATGAGCGGTAAATATCCTTTTTGGTGTCATACAGCATGTCACCATTCACTATTGATTCCTAGCTAGTGTGGATCAGAGGTCGTTAGAAATGGAAGTCAGCTCCAGACCCCCCGGGTTGGAGCATCTCATGCAGTGTGCCAAGTCACACAGTATCTGGGCCATGTGGTTCATAGCCAGAACCAGTTGATGATATTCAGGAGTGTTTCACATGTTGAAATCTGTCATCGAGTGCTGTGCAACCAACCAGCTAGAGAAGTTTGAGGCGGGTGTTCTTCTGTTTGACAGATGGGTGTTAGTCTTCTTTGAAAATGTGAAAGTAAATTTCCTCTTTTCCCAGACATTGTCTTCATGAGAACTTGGTATCCTGTCTCTATTCCTGCCTTCTATAACCCAGTAACATCTTTGTTGAAACCAGTTGGTGGGAAAGACACGTGGTCTGGAATGAGGACAACTGGTCAGCTCCGGCTTGCCCATGGCGTCCGACTGAAGCCCAACAAGGACTCTGTTTACAAGGTACCATCACGCATGTGCTCTATAGACGGGCATCCAGACACTTTGTATGTAGTGTCTTCTGGGCTTGGAATTTCCAACTAGAAGGGCTAACATTAAATGAAAGGAACAGTTGGATATTTATAGAATACTTCAGAAGGAACACAGGAAAGTGGGCATAGTAATTTTTTCTGTGGCTTGGAAAGGAGACTTAAAGTTTTCATTGTATAGTCTTTTGAACTATTTTTTCCACGTATACATATATTACTTTTAAAAACAATATGCTAATTCCCATTGAAGCAGTATGGGTTTTGGGGAAAGTTTTAACACATTTTTTTTTATTCAAGTGTCAACATACGTACAGAAAAGTACACAAATTAGAAATGTACAGCTCAGTGAATTTCAACACACTCAAAGTGCCATCACCTGGATGAAGCCACAGAATCACCAGCACAACAGAAGCCCCTGTGACCTCTTCCAGTCACTACGCCCCCTTCCACCTCAGACACAGCCACTCTCCTGACTCCTGATGTGTAAATTAGTTCTGCCTGTTTCTGAGTTTTATAAAATAGAGCATATGTTTTACTTGGCTTCTTTCCTTCAGTATTACGAGGTTCATCCACGTTCTTGTATAGAGTAGACATTGATTTGTTCTATTGTTGAACAGAATTCTGTTCTATGAAGATGTCAGTTTATCTGTTGACGGACTTCAGTTCCAGTATTTGGCCATTACAAACGCTGTCCTGAGCACATCTGTGCGACTCAGTTGGTGTGCATGTGCACACACTTCTGTTGCATGATTCTGCAGGATGCGACTGCTGGGTTACAGGGTATGCGTGTGTTCACCTCACTGTGTGGTGTCTGTAGTGCTTGGAAGTCACACCAGGTTAGACTCCACCAGTAGCTCTCAGCTCTGGTTGTTCCATAGCCTTGCCTGGACTTAGCCTCATCAGTGTTTTTTTATTTTATGTTCTCAGTGCCTGTCTGGACTCTCATTTTCATTTAGATTTTTGTCTCTGAGAACTTAAATTATTTTCTTCACAGGTTAACAGGGCATTTGAAATGATTTGTTTGTTTTAATGCAGGATATTTAATCTTTTTGTATTAAGATGGTAGTTCAGGATATCAGTCTGCCATTCTGCTTGAGACAGAAGTTTCCCAGGCATTACTCTTTCTATAAAATAGTATTAAATTTTGAGTCATGTTACATGAATTTCTATATTAAAATACACTTTAGGACGTGGTCATTTAGGTCCTCTTGTAATTTCTGAGGCAGTTAAGAATGTTGGCCATCTCAACTTAAGCATAGAATTTACATCACCTTAGAAACTGAATGTAGAGAGTACTTTGCCTCTTCTGTTGTTTAAATCTCATTTTTCTCAGCATGCCTTCCATTAGCAACAGGATAAAGTTAAATTTCTCAGTGAGTATCAGGGATGGCGACACTTTGGCTGCTGATTAGAGGAAGAACTATGGCCTCAAATCCAGAGAGGTTGATAGTCAAGTTGAACAGCTGGATTTTTCTCGTGACACTAGAAAAACACATCAGTGCCCCAGAGATAAGGCCTGATTTTTCATTAAAAGAATCTTTGGATCTATGTGTCCGCTCTGTTGAGACTCCCATAGTCTGAAATGGGAATAGGCACCGCTGAGTTCTTGAAACAATTGTGTGGGAGACCAGCTCCCACAGGCCCAGGGGTATCCCCTTGGTGGAGACAGCGTCGGCGAGGAAAACACGCGGAGACACAGAAGCGCTTTTTCAAGAAGAGAAGTGTCTCACTTTATTTTTACAGCATGTCCCTTTTTATACCGGACAGTTGACCATTACATCATTGAGCTATTTTTTCCAGAGACAAACTTTTACCCATCTGCCTTCTACATAGTTTCATTATTTCTTCCTTCCCAAGGTCTATTCTCCTTTTCCTTCCCAAAGTCTATTCTCTTTAGAAGTTTGTCCTTCCTAGAGATTTACTATCTCATGCTACTTCTGTTACAGGGTACAGCTGGATTTGTTTCATACTAATGACTAACTTACTTTGTCTTTACCTTTGATGGTCAGAGCTGAATTCCAGCCTTGGCATTGGAAGGATGTTTTATGGCCAATTAGTAGTTATCTCAAACACCATAGCTGAGCAGAATCCTGAGACTACAGAGTGCATGCTT